GTGCAGAGGCCACAGCACCACTGCTGCAGGTCAAGGGGCCGTTAGAGCTGGCCTCCCTCACCACAGGGAAGTGAGGCAGGAGCCCCGTCCTCCCTCAGGGGCAGCAGGGCACTCAGCATGGCCAGGGAGCTTCCCGTTCAGAGCAGGACAATCTCCAACAGTATCCGACTGGAGGGTTAGGTCAGGATGTCAGCCAAGAGATTTACAGACGGACAGTCCGGCCTCAACTTCACAAATGCCGAATGGAAAAGCTCTGACCTACGTTTTGAGAACAGCCGCAGAATGATCTGCCTCTATTTTTGTTCCTCACTGTCCTACCTGGACAGACACCAAGCTTTTTGTTTGTGTGTGTGTGTGTGTGTGTGTGTGTGTGTTTGAGTTCTGGGGATTGAACCCAGGGGCGCTCTACCATGCAGCTACACCCTCAGTCCTTTTTTGAGACGGGGTCTCACTAAGTTGCTGCGGCTGGCCTCAAACCTGCAGTCCTCCTGTGTCAGCCTCCTGAGTTGCTGGGATTGCAGGCATGTGCCACCAGGCCTGGCCCAAGCTCTTTAACCTACATTCTGCGGGCTGCAGATGGGAGAAGGCTCCTGACTCAGCCAACGGGAGGCCAGCATCTCCACCAACGGGAGCTTCCCATTGGTGGGACCTGACTGGAATCCAAACTTGAAGCCACGAGGGGCTGCCTGACCCCTGGCTGGATCAGACAGTGTGCTGGTGCTGAGAAGTGGGAACAAGGAACAAGGAACTCACCAAGGCAAGTGAGGGTCCTCTGGAGTTCTAGAAACAACTTATTAGGCATACTGAAAGTACAGGAACGCTCAACGAGAAGACCCAGAGAACAGGAGGATGGTCAGCACAATCTTTAGGGCAAAATTCCCCCACTATTCAAAAAACTTCAAAAATGTGAAGGAGCCATAGGAATGAATCCTTCCCAACTGGCAGATATTGCCTTTAGAATCTAAAACGCAGGAGAGATAACAACATCCAACTTACCCACTGTTCAATAATCCGACTGTGATCTGCTGAACAGAGTGTTTTTGGTAAATTGTAAGAAATCAACGTGAAGATACAACTTCAATGCTGTGAAAACCTACTTTTAAATCATCCTGGTAACACTTAGAACAACACCTTGCTTCCTTTCGCTTCCTTACACATGAAAAGTCTGTATGAGGGGGACAGGTGACTCCTGATGTGTTCATCATGGGGGGGGGGGGCAGGCCAGAGTCTATATGCCACCTGTCACCAAAATGGGGAGAACGCAAAGGAACATTCTTCCCTCTTCTAGTAAGCCAGGTGCCACTCTAGCCTCCCACCGTGGAGTCTACCCTTGCCCCAGGTCATCCAGAGATTGAATCGAAGTAGAGGGTGTCCAGTGGTAGGCTGGGACCCACGTCAGATTAGGACAACCTTGTAAAGAGCTGTGCCTGAGGTTTCATTCTGTAAATGGAAAAACAAAAAACAACACAAACAAACAACAGCAACAAAACCAGTCAGAAGTACTGTGAAGCTATGCTTAAGCCCCAGGCCTCCCACCAGGACAGGCCATTCCAAGTTACAAATCTCTCATTCCTGCAGATTCTCTAAATCCATGATCATGTACTTATTGGAAATGAAATGCCTGTCTCTTTCCATTCTGACCTCCCTCCATCTTCTTTCATGGTAGTGGGTGCTGAAGTGGCCACAGGCTGTCTGAACCAGGCCATGGCGGATCGAGGAGGGGAGAAGTTTATTGAAGACTGAGTGATGGATATATGTGACGTTTCATCAAGTTTGAGAAAATTTCTACTGAATTTTCTCATACCATACATAAGCTGCTTGGGATTCGGGGATTTTCCATCGTGATCTTTGGCACAGCATCCACAGATGTCCAGTAGCCAGGTGTTCAGGGGCATTTTAGTTAATCTATCAGTAAGAAAATAAAGCTTCAGTCCCACATTTAGCCAAAAGGGAATACAGAGATTGGATTTCCTATCCTGTAAGAAACAACTCCAGACAAAATAAGTGAAAGAATAATCTTTAAGATATCGGGGACAAAGGACGGGGGGCACTGGGAGAGGAGGAAGAGAACTGAGCGGTGGAGCTTGGGAAGAAGAGATGGCGGGTTCTGACTGAGGTGTGCAGAGGGCTGGGAAGGAGGGAGGGGGAAGGCAGGAGAGAACAAACTTTGAGGTCACTGAGCGGCCCCTGGGGTCTTCGGATGTGAGGAAACTTCCTGAGCCTGGCAGAAGAACTGCCTGGAAGGATCAGAGGGAAAAATACCCAAAGTGTGCACCTTTACCAAAATAATACGTGGCGGGGATGTCTCTGCCTCAGTAAAAGCAAAATGGACCCTGGGTTAACTGCTGCTCTCATCCACTGAATGCAGTTGGAAGGAAAATCCTGAAAGGACAGAACTGCTTCAAGGTAAGTTAATCATGTCCCCAACAAAGCTCCATAATATTTACAGGAGTGCAAAAATGACCAGCACTCAGCACAAGTCAGCTGCACACGTCTTCCATCCAATAAAACAACAGACACAACAAGAGGCAACAGGAGAAAAGGAAGCCGACCCAGAAATGGAGCAGGTGGTAGGAGATGGGAAAGGACCCTCGACGGTGTCACCTGCTCAAGGAGTCAGAGAAGAGACTGATTTGAGCATCAAATTTTTTAAAAAAGTGATGGCAACTGATTATAACCCTTTGAAGGATACAGGAATCCACGAATCCACATCACATACACATGGGGTCAAGGAAACTAATGGGAATAACAGAACATTCTTTTCTTGTAGTAGAAAGCCCACAAATAATAAAGGAATGGTGGGATAAGGAAATCTCTATTTGGCAATGACCATAAAACGTTGCAGGCAAGAAACATCAATAGATGCCCAAATTAGTGGGTACTCCCAAAATAACTCCTCACAAAATTTCTATGAAGAGGGAAAAGCTTGGTGGAATGATTGAAATTATCACACCAGTAACAGGGCAGATAGGCACCCAGGCCACCCACTCACTGGGTGACCTGAAGGGAACACAGCTTCGTGGCATTCTGGCCCCAAGCGCAATGCCTACTCTTGAGGAAACTCCAATTAAGGGACACGCCAACAAAGGATCTGTTCATAGTTGTCCAAACGATCAAGGCCATGAAAGTCAGAGACTGAGGAGTATTCCAAATTGAAGGAGACAAGAGGATACTGGGTTGCCTGAGAATGGGGCAGGAGTAAAAGTGAACAACAGCATGGGGGACAGGTCTGGTATCATCCTACAACATCACCACAGGCAGCGTGCCAAGCTGCACCTACAATGAGCACTCAGTGCCAGCTGATGCCCTCATCAGGCAACTACATACACTGAGGTGACCCAATGGGCACTTCAGCAGCACCAGTGAGACACACACCATGTCGAAACGATGATGGCAGTACATGAGTGCTTGTCACTTACAAAGGGACTTGTCAATCTAAAGCTGGCCACTGGCACATTTCTATTCTCCTTGAGCTTGCTGAGACCCATGCAAAAGTTAAAATATACTGTGCATCTCTAACTAAATAGCTGCACTGAAATCTGGGGAATATATGCAGACATATTTACTGTTTTCTACTATCACCAGCTAAAAACAACTAGGTTGGTGGTCCCCCACCTCCAAGATTTCTTTGTTGTAATTGTTTTTCAAATGCTTAATAGGCCCCTTCTTTTTTTCTGGCCTGGAAACATATGAATAATGGACTCTACTCTCAGGCCCCTCCTTGTCTAGTGGAAGGACCTGGATGAAACAGAAAGCAGCAAGTGCACTGATGGGCCGTCAGGAAGCACTACTCTGGGCTAGGAAGAGGAGTGAATAGAAAGGGCCAGGAAGCATTTCCTGGAGGAAATTATGCCAGCCACAGTAAGTAGGGCTGAAGATACTCTGCTGGGCAAAATGCAGGTTTGTGTTATCTCAAGGCAGATGGCCAATCAAGGGGTCCTCCTGGTGGAAGATGTGGGCCATAGCCAACTGACACTTGAATTCATGCTACGGTGTTTGTATCACACAAGAATCCTCCTCTCCAGCATCTGCCATGCCCAAGCAAGACCTGCCACCCACCTTTCTTAGTTCATCAAGAACTGAGCCAAGATTCAGCCTCGGGCAGTATAAAGTCCCAAACATTGGGGTTGTGGTTTTGTCACTACGGCATTTACTGTCATGAGTGTGTGCTGATGACCTAGGAAGATGAGACATGAGTGCGACAAACTCAACCCCCCCAAAGATATTATTTCTAAGAGAAAAGGAAACTTTTTAAAACAAAATGATATCCACTCAGTGGCTAATTGAACAGCAGGGTAAAGGGTGAAAATTAAAAATCGTCCCTGTAGTATGTTCAAGACACTTTTAGGCAGCCGTTCCCAAATAGGCCAATTTGCATATCAACAAAGGAAAACAAGGAGGTGAGAGCCTTGGCACAGGGGCTTGCATCCATTAGCCCATGAGCACCTCTTCCCTTGGCTCTAGTGCCTTGTCTTCAAGTCAGCCTGGTGAAATACCTACAGCTCCACTCTCCTGTTACGGGAAGACTAATATAAAAATAAAAAGAGAGGCCGCATCCCATGTTCCCCAAAAGCCTTGCTAGAATGAAAAATACAATGCTGGAAGCCTTAGGTTAGGAAAGAGAGCCAGCCTATCAATTGCCGTGCTGAAGCACCAATGCAAAGTGCACGGCACTTTCTTTTTAGGTATTTATATCCCCTCACATTCACCTTAATAATACTACTTTCAAAGTAAAGGAAAAGGTGAATTAAAAGCTACTACTTTGAATAGAAATGAAAAAGGTGGACAAGCAAGGTAGCTGCTTATCTAGTTTTAATTACCATATATTTAATACAAACTTGATTCTACAAGAAACCATGAACTGGGGAAAACTAAATATCTCCCATAAATCTTAAGTGGACATCCATATTACCCCAACAGGAGGCCTTTCTCCTTACTTTCATAAATGCAAATGCTACTAATCGTTACCATCAAAGTGCAAAACGTAACGAAATCATGAATCAAAGCAAAATACAGTACAAATTTATTGACTCCAATCATTCTTAGTTAAGATTTAAGCAAAGTGAACAGACAATAGAATTAGGTACAAGTAAGCAATGGATTAACATTAGATATTCTATTTTACTATGAATTTTCAGTCCAAAAAAAGCTTATTCCTAAAAAAAGTGATTTACTCCAAAGCCTAACGACAAAAACATATTACAAAACCACTCATTCATTTTTCCTTAAACAATAAGCATATATTCAATGCAAACTGTGAGACAGTTTTGTATTTTTCAGTAACAAATTATCCACCTTTTGAGAATTAGTATTAACCAAGAATAACTATGAAAGTTCAGATAGTACAAACAATGACTAAAGAATTCTGATTCAATTATTGTAAAGATTTACAGTAAAATGCTTTGGTTCCCCAAAGCCTGTCTCTGAAAGGAATTTTTGAAATACCTGATGTTCACTCTTTCTCCTCCAGAATCTAAACACTGAGTTTCCTCCTGTCGTATGGAAATGCCCTAGGTTGCAGCACTCCCTGGTAAACACTGAAAGAGCCCATTCGAAATCACGCAAACATCAAACTTCTTAAAGTGCTTAGAGCCACAAGAGGAAAATGTATTTCTAAAACTTTAAAAAGCTTAGTAGCCAGTGTTTGAACTTATTATAAGAATGTGTATTATCATTATTTAAATCAATGTTTATTAAAAAAAAACACCAATGAGATATCAGAAACTGACAAACTGACTTGTAATATTCCAACAGTTAATTGAATGAAATTTATCAAGAAATCTGTTAGGAGTGACACCTAATTATTTATATATAAGAAAATTAATTTTTTTTCTTTTTGTAGTTCTGAATTATAGTTGCACAGGTGTGTATGCACCCAAGAACCCAATCTGAGGGAACAAAGGCCAACTTCAAGTCTGTTCTGTCTCTTCCACACCCTGACTATTCAGCCAGGCAGGAGACACAGCCACCCCGGACTCCAGGGAAGGGCACATTCCATTCTTGCCCCAGAGCTGCTACTCTCATTAGCACCAATAGGGGCTTTGTGTGGATTTAGGTGATAACCAATTAAGTGTTGGACACATTTTTACACAGAGAAGGCTATATGACCCGTTCCAAACAGAAACAGGAACACATACATCTCCCCACAAATGCCAAAAACACCCATTACTGAACTGCTAGTTGAACATTTTGGTAAAGTTATAAATGCATACTAACTAGTCTTAAGCATGAATATTCTATTAATCTTGAAATATTACTATAAAATGCACAATATTTGTTACCTCCATTGCTTACTCTGATAAAAAACACTTTTATGTTACTCCCTCCCTACCTCACATAAAAGGATTCAATAACAAGTTCTCAGATTAACAAAGAATATATTAAAACATTTTACATTCTTTCCACACTTTGTAAAAAAGCAGGCATCCTGAATACTTACAAGGAATAAATGAGTTTTCTACATTTTCAAAAATTAATTACAATCAGAAAAAACATTTACAAGAATATCTTTACCATCTAAAGGAGTTGCAACGATGAAAGACCAATTTATTACACCAAATATTTGCCTACTGGCTGAGATAAACATTCTTTAAAAAACTGTTTACTGAATAAATCGATTAATATGTCTTTCATTATTTTACTTCTTAACATTCAAAATAGTTACATGAGTGGAAGCATTTTTTTTGTTGTTGTTTCTGACCACCAAAATAAACTCTTTCAGCCTAATGCTTTTAAGGTACATTATAAAAAGTAATAGAAAATCCAGAACTGCATTATAAATGATTTTTGGTTCAAATTTTTATTTGAAATCTTATACTTCTTGCCTAGACAAAAAAATGTGACCAAGACAAAACACTGGTTAATTTTTAAAATCTAACAGATATGCAGAGCCTATATTGAGATCAAAAATATTTTTTTTACTGATTAACAGTATTATTTAAAAAATCTTCAAAAATGTAGCATAAAGGTTCAAGTCCTGGGACACTGAATCTGCAATGCCAAGATTATTCTGTATTGTGGAGTTATCACAGATATGCCAACAGTCATGTAGGCAATTGTCTTCTTCTGAATTGGCAGCTAGTGCTCAGAGTAAGAATGACCACATTAACAGGGAATGAATTCCATATGCGATAATCCACCATGATGTCTCTTTCATTAAAGGTCATATGCTTTAGTTTCATCTGTAAAATGCATAGATTTCTTCAAGAAAATATAAAGATGGCAAGAATCAGTAACTGCAACCTAATTTTATTTTCCTTTCTTCATCAAATTTGAAAACAAAATAGAAATAACTACTAAAATATTTGGAGATTTTTTAATAGCTTTTTCAAGTGAAAGGATAAAAGGCAAATTTTCATATATAATTTCTATAATATACAAAGTCAATTAGTAATTTATAAAAATGACTGTTTCAATAAAAAGAATATCTCCCCCACTATTGATATGGAATGTTGATGATGAGACTGATAGGTGGAGTTCTCTTCTATTAGAGCACAAATTGAAAACTATTTCTCAGTCATCATAGTTGACTTTTCTAATTTGAAACAATACCTAGGTTAAAAGAAGGTATAAACTTGGAGTCTTAATCCGTGTCACTACCTACAAAGGATTTTGTGGTTTCAGTAATATTTCTTTTATATATGTAACCCTCCCCATAAAAGTGAAATAAAAATTTTCCCTTCTGAAACACCTGAATGAACTTTGGATAACACTTACTAAAAGGCTTTTAATTACAACTGTCACAAAATAAAAAAAGAACAACAACAACAAAAGCCCAAACCCTATTACCAAAATAAGGAGCAAAAAATCAGTTTTGGACCCTTTATAAGTGCTTTGACACATATGTTTGATTATTAAGTAGTGGCCTAGAGCAGATGGTTCTGTTACTGATATTTTAACCACTATAAACTCCAACTCATCCTAACAGAAGTTTTCATAAGAGACAGAGAGGCAGGAGAAAGGTGTATCATACACATTGTTCCTGGGAAGTACGTCTGAAGTACAAGGTGGGGCTTCCTCCTCTGCTGAGGTCTCTAGAAGGAAGTGATGGTTCAGAACATAGTAGAGTGGCTGTACTGGTTCCTAGTGGTGGGATCTGTCTACACACTTGTCCCCACCTACCTGTCACACTAATGTTGAATTCAGAATGAGTACCATGTCAGCTTTGCATTTTGTTCCAATTATACTCAGACTTTCAATCTGTGACAACATAAATTGGAGGAAACCAAACATGCACAGTCCTTTCAACACAGGTCTGATTTAGACTGTGATACAGAGGTCTCTATGACACGCCTGTTGCAGCTGAAGCTCCTGGAAAGTGTGGACTCCTGTAAATTGTATTTTCATTTCTGTGTCTTCCTTGGCGCATGACCGTTATTTGATATACTAAGTGGCAGAGAGCAAGTTTTCATTATTCTGTAAAAATCTAAGTGTGACTATTGCTGATTTATATTTCTCACAATTTTCATAGAAAAAGAAAGTTCTTACATGACCACAAAATACCAAATATTTGTTTTTATCAAGTGCCAGGATAACTTGTTAAAGTTGAGGTTTATCATTTTTTATTGCTAAGGTGTCTAAGATCTAAACCAATACTGCCAACAACTCCACTTCTTCCTGATACATTTTGGCCTTAAGAACATGGCTAAAATTTAACTAGAACTCAGGTGTCTAAAATAATCAGAAGAAGGAATACTCTGACAGCATTCCACTAATCACAAATCAGTAAAAAACCAAAAACCTCAATTAAATGATTATACTGACACCTTGGAACGAGGATTGTGCAATCCATCAAGATTAATCCAATTTCAACAGTAACGAAATCAAACCCCATTGTTGCTGTGAGGTCTGGAACCACAATATTTTAGAGTTTATTTCTGAAGTTGAGTTAGGACATTTCTAAATAATGTCAGTTTATCCCAAACTTAAATTCAAGCATAACAATTTCCAACCTTTATTATTATTTTTTTAAAAATATTTTGTTTCTTAGGACAGTTCACAATTGAGGGGCCTCCCATTTCATATCGGGGAAGTGTGGGTCTCTCAATTGTGTGTCTGTTCGTGACTCCAGAGACTGAAGGCTGTTTTGAATGTCCTGTGGCAGAGCTTACACATAAATTGTCTTTTAAATGTGATTGCTGAAAGGGGCGGGGCATGGTAGAAAAGAGTGTCCGACTCCTGGGGTGCAAACAGTTTCTCTGTGGCCAGAGTGGGGTTTTCAGGCAGGCTAGTGGGGCTGTCAGGTTCCAGAGGCTGGATCTTAGGCAGGGGTGGCGGTGGTGGCAGAGGCGGTGGCGAGGGGGAGTTTGTGGGGACGGGGCATACCTCTGCCTCTTTATGTGCCATCTCTTCTGTGGCCTGAGACATGTGGGACTGGAAGTGACTCCAGAGCCGGAAATTGGTGCGAAAGGCTTTGTGGCACACGTGGCAGATAAAGGGCTTCACTGAGCACAGCAGTTCCTGGTGCCGCTCCAGCTGCTTGTGGGCTGGGAACACCTTCCCACACTTCTCACAGGGCCACACGCTGGCCTCCTTGCTGGGGCCTGCTTCCTTAGGGGCTGCGCTGGCCTCGGGCACCTCCTCCTCAGCCTCCTCCACAGGCTCCTCTTTGACCTGGATTTTCAGTTGTTTGGAAAGACTAAGGTCTTCAGGGAGACAGGAGGAATCCTCTGAGTCAAAGTTCACTTGCTCTGAAGAGTCACTGAACGCATTATCGTCTTTTGGTGTAGTGATGTGATTTACCTTATTAGGCTCCGGCTGGGGCCTAGAAGCAGCTGTTACTTCACCATTGTGCTCCAGAGCTGGCGGGGAGACATTCTCAGTGGGGGCCATGCTGTTCTGGTTGTGCACTTCCACCTGGTGCCGCCAGATGCTGAAGGAGGACTTGAAGGTGCGCATGCACTCGAGGCAGGTCAGCTTCTTATACTCACACCTGTCCTCATGCTCCTGCTTCAGCGCGGGCGAGAAGAACCTGAGGCTGCAGTAAGGGCAAACGGTGGCGTTCCGGCATAGGCGCTCGTGGTTGCCTTGCTCTAGAAGAGAAGAGAGCTTAGCATTACAGAGGCGGCACGGGTAAACCTCTTTGCTCTCTACTGCGCTTGCTAGAGGAGCATGCTCTTTTGGCTTAGCAACTTTATTTACTCCGAGGGGTCTTTCTCCGGGGTGCATTTTTATGTGCTGCTTAAACTGAGAGAGAAAACGGTACGCCTTTCCACAGTAAGTACAAATGTAAGCTCCTTTGGCTCGAGAGCGCAAGTTCCTCTTGATGACTTGCTGTGCTGGGGAGCTACTCTGTCCCTGAAAGCCAGGCTTGCTGCGCCTCAGCTTAATGATCAGGGCCTTCTTAATCTCCCTCTCTCTCACTATGTCAATCAGCTTTCTTTGGAATTTCTCATCCAAAACTGCGTGGGAACTAGAGGCTGGTGATGGGTTCTTCACTATGCCGTGTTGGGTCTGACAGTGTGTCCACACTTTGAAGTTGGTGTGAAACCTCTTGTGACAGATGTCACAAGCGTAGGGCTTCTCTGGGTTATGGTACATGTTAACATGGCGGTGAAGACCTGCTGTTGATCTAAAGATCTTAAGGCAATGTTTGCATTTAAATTTTTTGTTTGGTCTTGTCCCCTCCAACTCACCAAATTCATCTTTGTTCAAGTCAGAATCTGGGAAATCTCTGTCCAGGGGAGGGTTTGTGCTGTCCTCACAGTTATCTTCTGATGCAAGAGGCCCCTGCTCGTCTGCCTTTGCCTTCTTGAAGGGTGACCTTCTGTCTGCCTGGAACCTCCTCTTTGCTGGAAGCCTGCTCATGTCCTTTTGGTCATCTTCTGTTTTCAGAGGCAGGTCTCTCGTGGCTGCTGCTGCATCTCCCACTGTAACGCGGATGATGTCTGAAGGGTCTGACAGTGGGCTGCTGGGCTCAGTCTTAATGCGCACCTCAGTCACCGGGGAGGCCCCCTCCCTGTCAGTGGACTGAGAAGCACTGAAGGACCTGAGGCGATGTGGTTGTAGCACTTGAGGCCTGTCATCCAGGGTTGTTTTTTCACTACAATCTTTTAAAGATGATTTTTGCGATAAAGCACAAAACACATTTCCTGGTGCATCACTGGACACTGCAGATGATCCCTGGGAAGATTTCAAATCTATGGAGGGTGAGTAGACAGGAACCTGGCTATCCATTGACAATGACCGTCTGAGGAGGCTCTTAACAAGTGGGCCACTTCTGTCAATGCTTTGGTTTCCAGAACCAGACCCACTGGACGGGACTACTAAGCCTAACTTGGAGTAGTACAACAAGTTCCTATCTTCACCTTGACCACTTCCTTTGTTACTTTCTTTTAAGAGATAGGGAGTCTCTGATGAGCTGCGGAGAGACAAAACAGGCGGCCGTGGTCTTGTCAAGGCCAGCTCTATAGCTCTTCCCTTGGGAAGCTGACCACTCACCCCTGGCTTATCGTCCACGGTGTCTCTGTCCTGCAGAGGCTTCGAGGGCAGCACTGCATTCCTCTTCACCAAGGTGCTTTTATTGGGGTCATCCAAAGACCCAGAATGCTCAAGAGACTTTGCAAACCCCGCATTACTCTCTTTTGGCCAGCTCTTTTCAGTTAATGACAGATTGTGAAGTGGTTCTGTTGGCTTAGGAGCCGGTTTATTGGTACTGGTCTTGGCTGCAATACTTGGTGAGGGCCGGGAAGCATGGCTCAGATCAGGTGGATTCTGACCAGCAGCTTTCCCTTGTGTTTCACTTCTACTCTGACACACGATGACACTTCTCTTTTGAGAACTGGTCTCTTCATCCTCTATGGACACTCTTTTTCTAGTGGGACAGGCTGGGAAGGGGGCCTGTGGGGCTTTGGAGACAATGTTGGTCAGGAAGGAGATCCCCAGGCTGTAGCCCAGCTCCTGCACAGCGGCAAGGCTGCTCTTTTCCACAAACAGGGACGAGGAATAGATGTAGTTCAGCACATTGTCAAAGGCGTCTGGTTCGCAGAAGTCCAGCTGAAAGACAGTCTGCGACTCATTTTCCTTATTTGTGAATAAACTCTGAAAGTACTCACTGCTGGCAGCCAAGACATTCTTATGAGCTCGGAACTTCTGGTCTCCGACAATCAGGAGCACATCACACAGCTGCCCCTTGAGGCGCTCTTCGTTGAGAGCGCTGAGCAAAGAGATGGCATGCGCTGGGTTAATGTAGTGCAGCAACCCCTCCATCGCTCGGGCTTCTCTGAAAAACAGAAAGTAGAATTATCTCCAAAACTGTGGTCAAAGACTTACCAGGGCAGGTAGAGCCAGCTGTCTTTCCGCAGGCGCCAGTGTTCAGCAGAGTGGGCTGACAGAAGCTTTCTGAATAACTTTACTTAAATAACAGTAAAAATATAAAACACTGTTTCCTGGTCGAGAAAGATCATCAATCATTACAACTGGAGAATTTTAGGAACTCAAGACTATACTTTAGACAAAGACTGCTAAAACTTGGTAGGTATATATGGAAGTGATACTTGAAAATTAAAGTTTATTACTCAGGATCCTCATTCAGCTGATGCTTGGTTTTATTCATTAATTTGGAGAATAAGGATGAATGACTAAAACCTCTGAAGTCTATAATTTTAAATCAATTTTATTATTGTATATTGTATATAATGGGAATAGTACCAATGGGTTGCAAAGTACAGGTGTTGTCAGACTTTTAAAAGGGTAACGATTTGGAAAGAGAAAAATCTTGGCTAATTAGCAGTAAACCAAAGTGTTTAACAAAGGTTAGAAGCATTAAAGATTAGGAACTTTTTTTTTTTTTTTTTAAAACACAAATTACTTTGAAATCTCTTGAATACTATTCTAACCAAATGGCATTTTCAACAGTACCATCAAGAAAACTTCAGCCTGGGGCTGGGATTGTGGCTCAGTGATTGAGCGCTTGCCTCACATTTATGATACACTGGGTTCAATCCTCAGCACCACATAAAAATAAATAAATAAATAAGATAAAGGTATTGTGTCCATCTAAACTAAAAAAAAAAATCTTAAAAGGAAAAAAGAAAACTTTAGTCTGATTCTGAACTTAATTAAGGGATTTGAACTGAGGTTTCACACTGGATTTCTCTTCAAATCTAAAAGTGGATGAGTGTGGTGGGTGAGTGTGAGCTCTGGGTGCCAGCTCCTCCCTGTGAGCCAATGTCCTCAGGCATATCTGCTGGATGCCTTGTGTGAAGTAGGAGTCAAGCTGCCTCCTCTTGAAGGACGTGGCAAAGATGACAGGAGCCAGCATCTAAAACATAATAAGTACTCAACTAATGCACTTCACTTTCAAGAATTGCAGGATAAATAGGTACTTAACTCAGTATCAAAGAAAAGGGTCCAGATTAACTCTCTCGTGCTCTCAACGTAGACAGAGGCATTCTTACAGAGGCAATGCTGGGCTCCCCACGAGTCTTCATGTGAATTTCATAACACTTCATCTCTTTGGTTTTATAATGTCATTTTCTCTTTGAGATATTGTTATGAGACTGAGATATAGCTCAGTGGCAGAGTGTCTGCTCAGCATGCACAAGGCTTTGGGCTTGATCCCCAGCACCACCAAAAATAAAATAAGTATAAACACACACACACACACACACACACACACACACACACACACACTCATGACATTTACTTTTACTACCAGAATGGATCCAAAGTAATTAAGAACTTTGTGACAGTCTCATCATTCTGGAGAGAGCACTCTGCAGATGAACCACACTCAGCCCCAGCACCTCTACAGGTTCTCTCCTGGCTCCAGGGGGCCAGCCTTGGCTGGTCAACCCAGGCCCAGGTTCTGTAGTGCCAGCAGAGAGCAGCCTGTGAGTTGCCACACACAACTTCTCACTCCTACTTTCACTCCTTGGCACAATGCTGACTCAGAGGTAAGGCTGTGCTTCCAGGATGGATGACTTCAGCTGGGCCACAAACCAGTCCTGGGGCAGAGTACAGATTTCCCTTCCCTCCATGCTGCTGTCATTTCATAGTCATGGTAAAACTCCATTCTTCTACTTGTGACTGTTTGACAGGTACCTTCCCTTCCTTTTCAGACATTTTAATTTTCTGCCTCACTTTAAGAACCACACAACTATTTGTATAAAGAAACCTCATCTTTTACAAAGGTCAGAAGAAAAAGAAGCTTATAATGTCACAGGTATCGACTCAGCTTTGTACTGGCAATTTGTAGTAACCCTGTGTTAGGCTGAAATGTGAAATACATTCCTTCCCTTGGATGACAATCAAGAAAGCTCAACACTGTTTTGAGCTAGCTAACCTCTCAGTTTTTGCCACTATAAAATAGGGACAATAATAGGGACAATAAATAGCTACTTCTGCACAATGTTTTTTTTTTGTTTGTTTTTGTTTTTTTGTATCAGGGATTGAACTCTGGGGCACTCAACCACTGAACCACATCCCCAGCCCTATTTTGTATTTTATTTAGAGACAGGGTCTCACTGAGTTCCTAAGACCCTTGCCATTGTGGAGGCTGGCTTTGAACTCGCGATCCTCCTGTCTCAGTCTCCTGGGCCGCAGGGATACAGTGCCCAGCTTGCACAATGCTATTTTGAGAGTCAAGGAATTGCTATCACTTATTTAGCACCTACAACACACTACAAATGGTACCAGAAACCTCTCATGCCACTCACTCATTCAACAAAATGGCACCTGAGAAAACTTGAGGAATGAGGGATAAGCCTGAATATATGGAAGGAAGCCATCACAGCAGAGGGAAGCAACGTAAGGGAGGGCTGGAGCAAAAGAGCCAGACAGCCAAGGATGGGGACATCCCAGAAGCACGAAGGAGACAGACTGACACATAGGGCTGAGTGGGCTGCTGGGGAAACTTCACAATGAGAAACACACCCATTGGAAGACTGAGCAAATAAATGACAAAGCTTGAATTGTTTTAGTCAGAACCGTAATAGCTGCTCTCTGCTTTCTGATCATCCTGCGAGTCACTTCCCTCCACCACACTCTTCTGCCATGATGTTCTATCACACCTCAAGCCCTAAGAAATGGACGGCCTTCTATGGACTGAGACCTCTGAAACTATGAGCTCTCAAATAAACTTTTACCCTCTACAATTTTAGTCACAGCAGCAAAAAAAAAGAAAAAAGAAAAATGAATAAAACACAAATTGGTACCAGGAATGGGGTCGTTGCTGTGTCTAACCTGACCATGTGGTTCAGAATTTTTTTAAGCTTTTTTGGAATTGGTAGGAGGAATTTGAGATGTTTAGTAGCGCAAGCTGGAAATGCTTTAGGTTGTTTAAGCTTACTGGCTGATTCTGGTGGGAGCTCAGAAGACTAGAATGCTAATAGGACCGTGGTCAGTGAAGACAGGGCTCAAGAGAGTTTAAGAGGAAAAGGAGGACACTGTTGGTAAATGGACTAGAGGCCCTTCATATTATGTTCTGGCTGAGAAGTTGTCTGCATTTTACCTGTGTCCTGAGACTTTCTGTGAGGCTGATTTTAAAAGCCACAGACTTCTTAATCTGGCAAAAGAAATGTCTAGGCTGCATAACATTTAGGTGGTGGCATGGATATTGCTGGTGGCTTTTAGCCAAATTTACTGTGATAATAGCAGAAAGTGGAGCAGAAAGACTTGAAAAACCTGGACTTGAAAGGTGGGAATAAAACTGGTGCCAAGAAAGCTGCAGTTGTTAAGGACATTACCACCACTAAAATGCTAAAGGCTTTGCCCAGAAACGATAAGCAAGATAGCTCAAGAGTATCTCAGGAATTGGCAAGATCATATCCATCTCAGACTCAAGGAAGCAAAAGGAAAAATTCTCTTGAGACCAGTGGAATATCTTTCTTGTACAAGGGGGCCTAGGAAGATTTTTCAGCTACCCAGGCCCTCAGTAAGTAAGCTACCCAGGCCCTCAGTAAGAGGGCCTGGGTAGCTTACTTACTCTATTCTTGTACAAGAAGACTGCTGCAGCCAGAGTCCCTGGAGGCTTGGCTACTGCTCAAGATGGCAGAAGACCATGGCATCAACCACGTGGTGCTGGATTTGCAGGATTGCAGGGTGCTGGAATTAGGGGGTCATGGAAGCTTCCACCAAAATTTCAGTTAAGCTTTGAGGCCTGGAAAAGTGCAGCAGGGTTTGAGTCTCTGCAGGCAGCCTCTGAGAGTGATGTGTGGAGATTTGAGGAGGAAGCCAAAGTTGCAGTGGAGACCCCCGAGATTAAGAATACCAGTAATGAGGGACATCGTTGTAGGAAAACTGCAGGTATTGAAGAGACAAGCCAACAGAAAGGCCACTTGGGCTGCAACCAACATGGTCACACGGGCAGAGCTATACAAGCCCTTTGGAAAGAACATCACGATGCCATATGCCACAGATGCTGGATGTGGCGCTATAGGACTTGCTTGCCCAGCTGCATTTCAGTCTGGCTTTGGTCCTATCCCTTTCTCAGCCCCAAATTTTGTGAATGGAAATATTTACTCTGTACCTTTATATATTGGATACTTGTAAATTGCTTTTGATTTTTACAGGAGCTTGTGGGGCAAGCTTGCCCTTAGTCTGAGAGACTGTGGTGACTCTTGGAAATGGACAAAATGTATTTTGCATTGTGAGATGATTGTGAGCTTTTGGGGGCCATGTTATGGTTTGGATGTGAGGTGTCTCCAAAAGCTGATATGTGAGACAATGCAAGAAGGTTCAGAGGAGAAATGACTGGGTGGAGAGTCTTAACCCAATCAGTGAATTAATCCCCTGACAGAAATCAGCTGAGTGGTAGCTGAAGGTGGTAGGGTGTGGCTGCAGCAGGTGGGCATTCGGGGCATGGCTTTGGTGTATATATTTTGTATATGGTGAGTAAAGTCTTTCCCTCTGCTTCTTGATCTTCACGTGAGCTGCTTCCCTCCACTACACTCTTCCGCCATGATATTCTGCCTTACCTGAAGCCCAGAGGAATGAAGCTGGCTTTCAGTGAGCTCTCAAACTTTTTATTCTCTACCAAAAAAACAAAAAATAATAGCCCTGGCTATGGCATGGAGAATAAACCACAGAGCACAGGACACAAGTGGAAACTGGAGCTGATGAGGAGTCTGCTGCCATGATCCAGGTGGCCTGGACCAGGTAGTGGCAGTGGAGGTTAAGGCAACGCCATTAGGATTGCTAACAGAATGACTGTAGGAATGCAGAAGGGAAGGAGTTAGGATGTCCTTAGTTGACATGGGGTTTGACAGAGAAATCAGGAGTTCAGATTTTTTTTTTAAAGGAATTCAGCTCTGATACACTTTATGAGTATGACAATGTGTCCATCAATACATCTCTCTTTTTTTAAAAGATGGATACAATATCTTTATTTATTTTTTTATGTGCTGCTGAGGATCAAACCCAGTACCTCACAAGTGTGAGGCAAGCACTCTACCGCTAAGCTATAACCCAGCCCCCATACATCTCTTCTGAAGATCCTTCTCTAACCCCCACCCTCATTTTTGGGACAAGGGTTTAACCCAGGGGTGCTTAACCACTGAATCACTGAGACACATTCCCAGCCCCTTTTTGAGACAGGGCCTCACTAAATCACTGAGGCTAGGCTGGCTTTGAACTCATGATCCTTCTGCCTCAGCCTCCTGAGCAGCTGGGATTACAGGTGTATGCCACCACAGCTGGCTCTAACCCTTTCTTATGCTTTCTGGAATAATTTCCCATATAAACTTCTATGTTAAACCTTTATATCAAGGTTTGCTTTTGGGTGAATCCAAACCAAGACGCCAAGAGAACTTGCATCCACAGGCACAGGTTAAGGAGGTATGTAAAGTCAGCAGAGACTGTTGTGTCTTGGAAGTCAAACGATGCTATTCCATTTATCACATGCACTCTACTGCCAGACAGCAATATTCTTCTTGCTGTTCACTGTTTAGAAAGATTTCTTTCTTTATCCTTTCTTCATAGTCCCTGTTTTTGCTCTAAGTAACTACTTCCAATCTCTTGAACCAAAGGCTTCTATCTTCTTTGAACAAAAACATCTTAGAATTAGGGAACAATAATAAAGTAAGAATTAAGCTATAAAATAAATATTCTCTGTCCTGAAAATTATTTGGGGTGTGAAAGTATTCACTTGACTGTAACCTCCATTTAGAGTCATCAATGAGACTGTCTGCTTATGAAGGAGCTACGGATGTCCAAGTTCCTGACACACTGAGTAACATCACAATATTTATTTTCCATTATACTCACTCAAACCCTCACTACATGCTTAAAAATAGCTAATACTTGTGTGTGCTTACTCTTCCACATACATGAAAGTAAACATCTTTCATACAATAATTCACTGTTTATGTAACTCTAGGAGATAAGTACTACTATTATTCCCATTTTACAGATAAGGAAACTGAGGCATATAAGGTCAAGTAACTTACTCAATACCACACAAATAAGCAGCAGCAGAGCAGGCTTCAGAGGCTGAGTTCTTAACACTCTACCATACTGTCTCTATAGTTTCCTTTTAATTCTCACATCATCTTCTGAGCTAGATAGTCACGGCCCTATTTGCAAGTGGGGAAACAGACACTGGAAGTCAAAAATTTGCCTATGGTTACCAGTAGTGGAGCTGGGAGTCTGGTTCCAGAGTATGGGTTCTAATCATTACAGTATATGTTTCTGGTGGCTGGGCATCCACCCAGAATATGCTAGAATCCTATTAAACATGGAGGTTGTCAACCTATCATACACAGCTTGCCTTCTGGAACTTTAAGTCTTGCATAGCAATAGGACAAGGCAACCGATCAACGCAGTCCAGTATGCAGGTGGCAGAAGAAGGGACCCAGTACAGGCTGTGGCCACCGGAAACAGGTGAGAGGACCGTCAGGAAAGGAATCAGGGAACATGGTGAGGAGACAGGCAGGAAAGGTGAAGGGCATTTTAAGAGACATGTGCAACATCAAGAGACAAGACAGAGCCCTGGAGCTGCAATGGATTCTTTTGGCTAGAGTGAAGGGTACATGTGGGGCAGGAGATTATGAGGCTGGAAAAGAAGACGGAAGCTGAGGGGCGGGGGGGGGGGGTCCAGGGGAGCTTATGGTGCTTCCTCACCTTAAATTAAGGCCCTTGCTTTTAGACGATTAACATTCTGGATTTTTGTGTTTTAACCACAGTAGGTATTATCTATTTATTGAGTTTAACAACTTAAGTGAAATATAAAAAGCTTCATTGAGAACGTAGGCAAAAAGGGAAACTATAATCGTTGAGCATCATGAGATGATCTGACAAACTTCTCTGTGGCTGGTGGAAGTGCAGACTGAATTCTCAAAACTCATTTCTCTCCTATTTGGCCCTCAGAAGAGGCCAGCTTTGTTGGTGAGGATACTTCTTCCTTGATGCACTTTTCTGATCCAGAAACAGTAAATATGCTGGCACACCAGACTCCAGTTCTCCTGAATGTTTTATTTATGAATGAACAGGAAATCTGACCTACCAAAAACCATGTATCTCACATAAAAATGCAGGATGCCTCTGGTGTCCACAGCCCACTCCCTCTCCACTGCTCATCTCTATTAACTCAACATGTAGGCTCCATCATTTCAGCCATGCTGGAAAGCCTGGGAGCTCTTAAAAGGGGGTGATAGGTGGAAGAAAAGGCCTGCTTATAAGCAGCAAAAAAGCTGCAAGGAACCCTCCCAGAAAACCAGATTCATTGACCATTTGGGATCCTCACCCACAAATATTTTCCCAAACTCTGCCTGAACCACTTCTATTTTGGGTGTGTGTGGGGGGGGATACTGGGGATTGAACCCAGGGCCTTGTGCATGCAAGGCAAGCACTCTACCAACTGAGCTATATCCCCAGCCCCTAAACCACTTCTATTTTATGTTTTTTCTAGAAAGTCCAAGATGAGAGCATCTTTATGGTCAACAGTTCATGGGAGGCATGACAGTTCTGTGGAAAAGCCTTTCCCATAGTTACTCACCACCTATTAGGTGGATGACCTTCTAAAGACCATTTGGACCTCTCTGAGATCTAGTTTCCTATTAAACGGGGTGAGCACTACCTTTACCACATGGAACTTCTGCAAGGTACAAACAAAGCAACACATGTATGAAGCCCTGGTCTGTAGAACATGTCCCATCTACAAGTACACATCTTTCTCTCCTCTCCCCTCTATGTTTTGAGGGCCTCCTCCACACTGCATGTCACAGAGGTGCTGGTAATGGGAGGTGAGCAAACTGGCCAGCTTCTGGCTCTCCAGGTGCTCCCATTCCTGTGGTTAAACAGACAACAGTGTGATAAAGAATTCCAAGAGTATAACAGCAATGGGATTTCAGGAAGCTATTATTGTGGCTAGGGGGCAAGCAGTGGATGAGTCATTAGCAGAAACATCAGAGAAGGACTAGGACTCATAGTCCCTTGCCAGTTACAGTAACACCAAAGGTTCTATTCTCCACATTTCTACCACAAACACCAAAAACACAGGGATCTCAAAAGCTTGCCTGGCCTCAAGTTCCGGTTCCCTAGAATGGCCACAAAGCCCTTCATTGCTGGATCCCCAAGTCCTTCAGTATACTAAATGCTAAGGAAGTCTGGGCACCCATATCTTAAAGTAAATTAATTCAATGCAATCATTTTCTTCCTTATACCAATGTCAGAACAGCTGCAAGGAATGAAGATTTTTGAGGGGACAAAGGTAAGGTAGGCAGAGCATTCTGGGGACAGAAGCAGAAGAAAGTGAAGCACAGCCAGGCACCAAGTACAAAACTAGGAGGTTAAGTGAGGGGGGAAGAGGGAGATCAAAAAGAATCAAAATAATCCCACCTTTTTTCAAGTTTCAGAGACTAAAATTCAGGCTGGTATCACAGCTAAGGAGCATTATAAATTATCGTGGCGGCCCAGAACTCTTACTAACAGTTCTAAAGGAAAATGTCTTT